TTGAGAAACCCCTTCGTTCATCAGTTCCCTTGGTAAAATCTCAGCTCTCTGGGTGCCTTATACCATGGTATTGACTGTTAAACTCCGAGGACGGCAAGGGGTGCGTTAACGCATGGGAAACGTCTATGAAATGGATTAGTTATTACCTCGAGGATTACCGGCATTACGCATACATCCGGAGTAGACCGCACGAACGTAGAAATGAGTTGTGAGAGTGCTTAGAGTACGAAATAGTGGCGGCTACATAATAAACATGGAACATGTCGCTGTGCAGCTATCCGAGCATACACTATGGAAAACTATGAAAGCAGTGCATGACAAAAGCCTTCGTCTCCTGTTAGATTTCTTTAAATTTTGCCTAGTATCACTTATTTGGCGTCCATGATGAAGGTGGACACAGCCCTTCCTCGACACTAGAACTACATGATAAATAGTACTACTCCGTAAGTTCTCTTGGATCCACATTTGCAAAAATGCTTTTGAGGACTATACATCTTTCCAGATGATTATGGCCCACAAACTTACTTTCTCCGGCATCAATGGCCGTCGTATCTGGTGCACTTATAGTGCTGCAGGAAGTCTTACACGGTTCGTTTACTGAAATTCTACACATAATTACGAACCCCCCACTTACTACTCGCTCAGCGTGCACTTCGATTCTAACTCTGATGTCCAGAGTAACGAAGCTGTTGGTGACACTGACAGCATTTCTTCTTGAAATCACTTCATGACACCTTTTAGCGCGACAACTTTCGGAAAAAGTGTCTTCAATTTCACTGAACACATCTTAGCTCTTCGATATATAAAAACACAAAGAGTAAACGGTAGGTTGATGTCAATCGCCCTCAAACCAGAACATGCAAGTGAAGGTTCACGGCCGTTAGACTGTCCTGACGCTGACGGCGAGTCGCCAGCTGCTAGGTCGCCGCGCACATAGCTGTTGTCCACTCCATGCTTATTCCGATTTCGTGTACGTGTGCACAGAGGAAGTGCCAACACCGTAACGCAATTATTGTCACATATAAGCCGACTAACGATACATAGAGCCACCTTAGTATCTCTGTCAATCAGTGTGTTGAGATTTTTCTTTCATGAAATGGCTCAGCATACGCTGACGTAATGCTAACATCTGCTGTTAGGCTTCACCCCACATCTCTTTCGCATACTGAGTAGTATTAACCGTCTGTTGCTGTAAATGTCTAATAACCCTTCTGAAACGTTGGTAGCACAACTCCCCTGTTAGTTTTCTCCAATTTGTTTCGTCTTACTCCTTCAAGTCGACTGGATTCTTATTTATGGCGATAATGGGCGGTAGTCATCAGGAGCCGAGTATTTTACTCAGGCTATCCTATTGCCTTGTTCCTCTCAATAGAAAGGTCGGAAAACTGATTTACATGACCTTTTGTGTTCTGTCTTACCCGTCTCTGTCTAGGTGTCTAACTGAAACACCTTCATCTTTTTTTTAGATCAATAAAAACGGCACACGTATACGCGAGAACGTTGCAGCTGTCGACACTTTCCGCCACGTGTCCATTAAAATGGTTGCTTAAGCCGTTCACTTGAAGCTGATGCTGAAGGCGATATGATAAAGCGCTCGCTCGTACATGTTCTCTTTACTATTTTGGTCGCCGGTGCTATTTTACTCCTCGTGATCAATGTCCTACTTAATTTCTCTTTCAACATCGACCATGGACGCCTATGGCGAACTCTCAAACCTGCTCGAAGACCCTCAGTTACAGTGCCTGCGTCTTATTCTCGAACTAATATCAACTCCAGCCTTCTACGCTCTAAAAAGTTGGTCGCGGTATTTTTGCATATCCAGAAAACAGCCGGCAGCTTCATCGAAATGCAACTTACCAAAGTCGGTGTTTTAGGCCTGCCTTGCTCTTGCACGCGCGGTATAAAAGTCTGCGATTGCAAGCAAGACGGCCGTATATGGCTCTTTTGCAGGTATTTATATTTTCTGCAGACTTGACACGTTTTTTTAAGATATTCTGTGGGCTGGCGTTGCGGCCTGCATGCTGATCTCACCGAGCTGACAAACTGTGTTCCAGGTATGGTCGACCGATTAGAAGACCGTCACAGAATCCGTAAGCCGATCTCTTAAGTTATTTATTTCCCCCATTTACGGCTTGAAATGAGGGGTGAAATTTATTTGTTTCATATTTATCTTACTGTGTTTGCTTAATACATGAAAATTCATTCTCACAACCTTCTACGTATCTAAATACTTTTAATTCTTCAATATAAATTGGAAGGCAGACATCCCAAGAAATGTACTTTAAAGGAAGGCTTTCTTTGAGAAAATAGGGTATCTTTATTAAAAAATTTTCGATGCTGGATCCCCAGGTCGTCGTCAGAATTGAGATGATGTACAGTAAGCAATTAAATTTCAAAGTACTAGTACAATTATTTATTGACTTGTTGTGGACGCTAATTGGCATATGCAATTTGCGTCAGGCCATGGTGGACAAATTAATAGTCGTAATAGCGTTATTGTTAATCGGCAACTGTAAATTTCGTCAGTCCGGGTTGGAAATTACAAGTCATCCGGCTTAATAGATAATTAGCAATTGCGGTAAACGTTAGTCCGTGTTGATCGGCTGTCTTTGAGATGTGTGTACATTCCATCCAGCTTGATATGCCGGTTGACGCATGAATCATCGGGGTGCATGGCCTCAGGGAATTCCCGGCCTTTTTTGAAGGGGTAAACTCTCACGATTCGTGTTTTGTCCCATGCAAAGGTGTGTTCTGTACCAAGGCTATGCATAACTACTTCGGATAAATGGTCACGTCTCTTCACTGTCAGCTGGTGCTCGTGGATGCGTGCGGAAACGAACCTTATTTGGCCACAGTATGTGATATTACAAACTTTGCATGTGACCTTTTAAATGACTTCTTTCTTATCGAGATAGCTAATCCTATCCTTATCCTTTTTCGTAAATATTTTATTTATTCATCCCTCCCCGATTTCTTGCTTCGTATTCTAAACTTAGTAGTCTGGCAAAAATCTTTTCAACGTCGCTCAGTAATCATGAGATTATTTAGTGCTGTGACAGGATCCGCTACGCTTTGCCAACTTTCCTTAGTTGACGTCCCAAAATCACACACATCACAGAGTGATGTGCGCATGACCATGCCTGTTTC